TGAAAAGAGAGGAAAGACAGGGGCAGGTAGTATTGACTTAAGGACGGATGTAAATTACAAGAGGGAGACGTCTATCTTTGTAGGTGGCTGTGGCCTTGTGTAAACTAGATCAGAGCTGATAAACACATGCCACCATCAGATCTATATTGACCTGAAAAAATTTAAATTATGTGAATTAAACCAGATGAGTACTATTTTATGTAGTAAGAAATATCAGTATTGATAACCGTACTAACCGAAAAAATTACATGGATCTCATGTCAAACTTTCCCTGAACTTACCAAAACATTCTCAAATTTTCTGAACATACCAGAAAAATATTTCATTCATCTGAAATCCTCCTTTGTCATAAGACAGATATTCAAACTACTTTCCTGATTAACGTGAAGTTACTAAAAGTGCGATTTGGTGTAACCATGACACTGCATGAATCCTTTCTCACGGTAACATCTTTCTTCCATTCTTTCTATGAAGATGATGATTAGGGGAAAGAATGTTAAAAGCCAGAGATGGTCCTGGATGTAGAACTCTTTCATGAACTATTTACAGAGTTTAAACACCACCTAATGAGTTTAAAAGTAGGTTATTTGAAGGAAGTAGTTTGCACAATCTTTACAAAGAATGGCTTCTAGAACTGATACGCAAAATTGCCAAATTACCTGGAGTAGCAAGACAGGGATCATGCTCTAACGTTACCTTTCCGAGAAGAGCAGAGGATAGTTAGCTGCTCAGATGACTGTGTGCTGAGTGCTGCAGCTAAACTCACTATCCTGTGGCATTATTTTCACCACTGTGGGTGTCAAAAAGGATTACTCTCGCCAGAGCACAGGAATGAATGATCACATTTGGGTTTGGAGGAATATCTTACTCTACACTCCCATCTACTATTAAGAATTGTCTGGTCCTAAATTTACTGAAATCCTGATCACACCTAATTTAAATTGACATGCAATTTGAGTTAAATTTATTTTCTGCCCTTTCAAGGGAGACAGATTTTTTTGTTTCTGTTTATTTAAACTGCTGTTGAAATTGGTTAATTAAAAGGATTTAAAAAATCTTAATACTCTAAACAGAGCAAACTGGTTCTGAATTATTAAGCAACATTTTAGATGCATTTAAATAACCTTAAGTGACTTAACTGCCACCTGATCCTAAGCTGTGGCTCAGAAAAATAAAATGTGAAATACTGTAGAAGTCTTGGCTTACCAGGGCTTCCAGATACAGTAAATAAAGAGCTTAAGTCTCTAATACCGTGTCTGCAAAAGGCGTACTCTCAAATACATAACTAATGCTCCACCTTAAGGAGAAATGAGCAGAAGAAATTGTAGATTGCAATTGTGATTTTTCAGAAGAAATTATTATTAATATTATTATTATTATTCGGTCTTTCAAAAAGAGTGTTTCAAAAGAGAGAGCATGCCAGGACCTTCCTTTCTGACAGATACCACAAAACGTTCACAAACATATCGTTAACCCTGGTAGGGTGGCTGAAGCCCAGTTTGGGTAAATTTGTTCTGCACATTCCTCCTACAGTTTCAGCTAGACATGGTACACCTTCAGCTTCTGGCCTGAAGTGTGATGAAAAGCCCAGTCCATAAGATGTTAAGGAGTTTTAAGGAAGACTTCTGCAGATCTCCACCACAGAAGGAAGTGAGGAACTGATCATCTGGGAGGTCTCCAGGATACTGGGAGAAGGTGGATCTTGCAGCTGGCAGACTGAGAGGACAACTGAAATTAGCGTTTGAGAAGGCTTTTAAGAGAAAGGGACTTAGAAGAAATACTGTATGAGAAGGTTGACTGAGTATGCTAATATGCTTAGGGCAAGCTGTTTTTGTTGTAGTTAAATGCATTTCGAAGATGAGAGCAATTCTTGGACGAAAAGGAACTGTAATTCTAAAATCAGCACGTACGCTTAAATAGCGCACTCATTCGCTTCCATAAAGTCTTTGCAGGCGCATTTAAGAAAAACGCAAATAACTTATAATACAGCTTTTCACTCCAAAAGACGTGCTTGCCAAACGTTTTCAAAGTTAGAGGTACAAGTTACCTCCTGACCCAGGTTCACCTGTGTGATACACGCTTGTCGGTACGGTACGTAGTGCTGCCTCAGCTAAGGTACCGAGAGGAGGTGGTTAATATCTAATTTCAGCACTAGTAGAAAGAACAACACAGTCGGTGACAAAGACCCAATAACAAGTCACCGCATGTGCTTAACTGCTTTGGAATGTCACCGCTGCCTTAAAATCTACAAGTAGTGTCTGGAAAAGGTTAATCTGTGTATTTACTCATGTGTAGAAGTTTGTATTTACAGTAGGGTTATGATACCAACTTTAAGTTAGCTAAGGATATCTGTGTAAGCAGCTGGAACATAGAACTAAGAACTAATGAATTTTTATTTACCAAAGAAGTAAAAATACTTCAACAACACTGTATCAGGGTATCAGGACAGATGGCTTTGAAAAGCAGGTAAAAATTCTCTAACATGTTTACCTCAGGAAAATGCTGATTTGATTGAAGATAATCCCCTTGTTTTGATAAAACAGAAACACTTTTGGGGGTGCATATGTTATTGTAATATAGATTAGGATAGAACAAAAAAATATTAACTTGAGAAGACATGTTTTCATCTTACTGCAGCAAAAACTCCAGCAAAGTAATTCTGATATTTTCAAACATATTTTTTCAAAAATGTTATATATAGTTAAAACACAAACAGATATTTTAAATGCTATTATTTTCTGGACCACAAGCATCTCAAGTGCTCTGTTCGTGTTGTACAGATTTCAATGGATGTTTGTGATATATATCATACGGGAGAAGGGTCTGGTCTTGACAACTGAGAGCATATTTTTAAAAGACTATATACCACGGAGCCTAAGGCAATGAATACATACTTTTACCATACTTCCAAGGCATTCATCAATGACTACTTTTTTTTTTTTTTTTTTAAAAAACCTCTCTGTGGAGTTGCACACTTCCAACTTTTCAAACCTGGGGAACACAGCAGATGCCATTTATAGTTCGCAGTAGTTAGCAAACCCCTGGGGATTATTTTTGTCTGTTGTAGCTCTGGTGGTCACAATGGCAACCAGATTCGTACACAGCCATCGAGTCAATCGGCATGAATCATTTATGTGACTCCTCATACATGGCATTATTAAGTTGGAATCACAGAAAAAAGATGACAGGATCTTTGCTTCCCACACAACAGACCAACATCTCTGTACCCTGCCATTAAATTCTCCTTTCTTTGCCTCAGCGTTTTCTCCCTGGCAGCTTCACAAATGTACTGAAAATATCAGCCTGTTCTAATTTAATGGTCTTTTTTCTTTCCTACTCCTTTTTTAATTTGTTCTTATGTGAGTCATCTGATTTTTGAGTTTGTTACAGAGGACTAAAATTAATAATGATGATGATGTGATTAAGTACAGAAACGGCCAGTCTAAAGTGCAAAACGAATGTACAAAGTTAGAGTAGCATACTGTTTTTTTTTTTATATTATATGCGCACTAAGACATAAATATGTTAAAGGTAGGGAGGTACAACTTGCAGGATATTTAAAATACACAAAAACATTGTTTAGACTGTAAAACATTGTTTTTCTTCTGTCAAGTAAACTGAACAATCAGTAATCCTGGAACCATAGGTGACTTCTAGTCTTTGGTTCCACTGGAAATGATATTACGTGCTTAAGGAGTAAAGTTAATTAGTGATTAATGAGATTCCTTAAATGCTGCTTTTCAGTCTGATTAAGATTTTCACTATGAGACAAGGTGAAAGAAAAGCTGTAAGCACTGCAATCCTGTTCACAGAGTCGTGCCAAAAATTGGTCAGAAATCACATCCACTCTCAAGGCTGTGTGCTTGCTAAGGACATCATTTTCTTCCCCTTTGGAGTACTTCTGACCTTTTGGAGTACTTACAAATAAGATGACAGAGTAAGAGGTATCTGTTACAAAACAGTACTGTAAACATGCTAATCAGAGCCTTATTCCTAGTGAACTTCCTGCAGGGGCAGCGAAGGGAAACAAAATGGAAAAGCAACCCAAGTTACTGAGCTCCTTTGATGAAAAATGGCTTAACCAGTCACCTGGAGATGCCCCAGCAAATAAAAACCCGGCTGATCCAGAGCTCGTTTGCAGTACTGAGGCAATGTGGCCAGAAAGTTGCTGAACTTCACCCATCACTGCTTGCCTCGTTACCGTCACCTCTGTAGTGCCCGTTACCTTCACCTTTTATGCAGGGCCCCAGGTAACTGCTGCACAGTTAGACCCACTCACCTTTACCTTTGGTGTAACAATGGCTGAATAAGAAACTAAAGTTAGTTTGTAACAGAGCAGAAAACATATAGGCGTATTTTCGAAGAAACTTAGTAACCAGCACAAAAATATCTGTTGATAAATCAAGAGAATTTAATTGGCTTTTGTAAGCAGTGTTGATTTTGAAAAACGGTCACAGCAGGTGCATCATTAGAATTTTGAGGTAGGGGAGATAAATGATTATTTACTGGTATTACATAACAGGTGGATGAATAATTTATCAGAATGTACTGATTAGCTCATAACTGTATACTATCTGACACTGAGCCTTCCTTGCTTGTAACATAAAATTGCATCAAAACGACAAAGCCAGAAACATCAGAAGTACCAGCCCATAACAGACCGAAACAGCGTACTAACAGCGATGCGGCTTCCTTCAAAACAGGACGTGAGTGATGCTGGCTCAGCACAGTCGGGCAGTTTCCATTCGATATGGTCCACAACTTGTTTGTTTCAGAAACAGGGGATTTTTTACAACGTCCCTGGAAACAGGTTTTGCAATGCAATTTTGTATGCAACATATGATAGCACTGGAAGGTTAGCACCTGGCTTGCTGACAACCACAGAGCTTGGCAGCACTCTAACTTACTCAGACAGATCTTTTACCTCCTATGCTGTAACATACTGGTCATCTAACACACAAGAGTAGTGGTATTTATTCCTGAAAGGTCCATTTACTCACATCTCTCCTCGGAAAGGTGCCCAGCAGCTTGTACTCCTCCCAAGGATATCCCTTGGAAGCTACAAAATCAAAGACAACTTGCAGCTTGCTGCTGGCCAGGAAACGTCGCTCAAAGAATTCTCCGCTGGGCGTCCGAATGCGCAGTTTACTGACGGACTCGGTGCTCTCCTCTTTCGGTTCGGGAGGCAAAGATTGCTCAAGAGAGAGCCTGATAGCCTGAGGAAGGAAAAATAAACATTTAGGCTGCAACGCTAACAGAAGAAAATGACAGAAAGCTTTTTATTTTTATTTCTTCTAGAACTTCAAGATGTGCCACAGTGCTCCAGAGCCATACCTGTGCTTTATATCTCAATGACAAAATCATTTTTATTCATTCCTTAATAACAGCCCACCAGACAACTAATTAAAATAAATCCTTCTTTATAACACATATTATTAGGTCTACAGTTAATGCACGATGGGGATAAGTAATTTAATCATTTGGCAGAAAGCCTTGGAAAAAATTTGAATGAGAGAATAATTGTCAAGTGGCCAATTGCTTCCTTAAAGGGTATAAATTAAAAGGCAGTAAAAGTATTTCTTCAAATGCATTTATCAAATTGCCTTCCTCTTGCACAGAGTAATTGACCATTTGCAGTAAAGACAAGACCCGTAGTGGCAGTTCAGTGTAAAATGAAATATGTGCCTGAGATTTACTATAAATAAACCAAAACACTGTTAAAAGACATAATTAAAAATATCATAAAAGTACATTAGATACGTAGCGTACATGTAAAAGTAGGAACGGTCAAAGAAGAAAACTAGGAGGACAGAAATGGGAGCTTTAAGATTTAAAACAACCAATTACTATTATTATTTGCAGGAAGATGGTTCCAAGCACAGGTATGCACGTTTTCTGCAACAACTTGCATGAAATTAGCCCCAAAATTGCAGAAGTGTTACACGTCTGAAAATGTGTATGATTGTCTTCCTGCTAACATTGCGTACATTGCTGATGTCAAGGTTTTAAGGGCAGGAGCCAAGTCTGTGTTCTCTGTCCTCTGCCTCTGGGAGCTACTGCAACACTAATACTCTGGTCAGCAGATTTTTTTAAAAAATTGGTGCCTAATATTAGGCTGAACGAGGCAAGCTTGATTTTTGAGGGTACTGAGTGGTGCCGGTACCCACGGACAGGCATTGGCATCTGTTAAAAATCAGATGGTATTTAGGAAGCAGCCTTGTTACAGTATCACCTCACTTAAGGCAGCAGTCAACGAGAACGTCAACGAATGGAAGAAGCAGCGTTAATCACGCTGCCACCCCTAAAATACGCCCAAAAGACAATTTTCCAAACTGAAGAGCTAAGCAGGCACAGATTTACCCAGATTTTCAAGGAACTTTCAAGATGCACAGCTGCTATTTGTGCCTTTGAAAACCTCCCCAAGGTCATTTAGTAACAGAAACTGATGGAGGATGATTACATTAAAGAGAAAGGACTGGGCAGAAGCAAGATTATGAAGGCTTTTAAATAGTCTACTTCGTACACACGAACCTCTGAACAAATTATATCTCAGTATAAATATTTATACATAGAACTTGAGTTCATTTTTGCTCATCTACTATGAGATTATATTTTAAATAGATCCTATTTTAATTTTCTCTCCCTCCATTCTCAACCACCTGCTTGCTATCTTTCTGTTTTGACATTTCCCCACACAGTATAACAACAGATGCTACATTATTTACTGAACCCAATCAATTATATGATAGAAAAATAAACAACAGTAGCTCATTAGAGCTCTTTTCTCTGTGCAAAGAGTGCGTCGCTCCCCAAAGTAACTAGTCTCCAAGGCTTCAACATTAAACGGCAATTTACAATGGATATTCTGTACCAGCAAACCAAGTCAGAAAACAATGACGTGACGGATCACATTAATAACTCTTGGACCTGAACAAGCAATTTCACTTTGTTGATTAAAAGATGTTCAGTATGTGGATAGCTCAATAGTCAGATTTTAAATATACGAACAGAACATAAAGCCACTTCTGTAAGTAAACACTGTTGCGGAACAATTCAGTATAAGTAATCTGTATACTTGAAAATGGGGAGTGTTAGTAAACATTATTGTTAAAATCCCTTTTGTTCTACTAAGCAAACAGATCCTATTATTTTCATTACTGCACTCTACATTAAAACAGGGAAGTCCAGGTATATTTCGCTAACATGGACCAGACTTGCAGCCTGTGTGTAAGAAAATCATTTCCAAAAGGCCAAGGTATCTGAAAAGGTTCAGGAGCAGCTATAATAAAGCAGAATTAATTACTGTTTCTATGCATGCAAAATTACTTCGAAAAAGAAAACCATATTTCTTTCTTGAACCTGAGTGTGAGCAGATTGCTTGACAGTCTGTTACTGCTACAGTACTGATTTATGCTCCATTGCTATTAACCTCACAGAATTGCCATCTTACAATTATTCTTGACACAATTCTCACAGTCCAGTTTTGTGCATTGCTCCTTCAGTCGTGTTTTAGCTTCCATTCTTGGCTTATGTTAACGATAGGAGCTAAATAAGTCATCAGATATTGCAGGACACGGAAGAAGACGTGGACTGCCTCTCTCCCAAACCATTGAATACTAATGTTTGGACTGCATTTAGCATTTACAACGTGGTACTGTTTAAAAGGTTCTTGAATGCTTAAATGATTCAGGTTTTTTAATGCAATTATCTTGGTCAAAATATATATATGCAAATGCATTGCTCGTACAGTTTGTTTATTGGGTTTGTCTCAGGGAATAACAAATGTGTTCACAGCCAACTTTTTTGCAGTTTTATAATGCAATTTTTTCATACATCAGCAAAGTACACAAGACTGAAATGTCAAGTATACATTTAAGTCATGTGTAGGGGGGGAAATAAGCAAGGCTGTGAATTATCAGGATTCCGTGAGTTCCAAGGACGTTAACTAAGTGGAGATTTAAATAAGAATATAATTCAAAATTTCGAATCTCCATAATCCATGAGAGTCAAAGCAAAGAAGTTATATTAAGTCCACCAAAAATATTGGAACTCTGATATTTTTTATAAATGAAAAAATACTTTTAATATTTATATTTTATTTATATATGATAGAACACTGGAAAGATACTTAGGATATATATATTTAATAGGGATGGTGATATAGCTTTGTATCGATTAGTAACTTGGTCACAGAATCTTACATGCCTAGAAGACAAAGGACAACCCTGAACTAGCTCTGATTTCAGTCAAGACATTTATATGTGAAAGTCACTTTTATTTTGAAAATTTTATTCAAGGATTACAAAGTCTTTTCCAAGTATCAGTTGTGTTTCACAGCAGTCTGTAAGGACTTGTATTTCAAGAACTTCACAGATAGATGGAAATATTTTAATGACTAGTCTATTTTACCTATCTTTTGAAATGTGGTGGGACCTCAGCCTTTTACCATCTTTTGTATTTGCCAGGAGGTGAAAAAGAGGAAGTCACTAATGTAAGTAAATTTCTGTACATGATTCTTTAGGCAAATACCTACATAGACACACAGCTAGGACAGGAGCCAGCCTAGATCCTGAAAGAGGCTGCGGCACCCATCTCTGACAGGTATTGGGGCCCTCATAATCTACAAAATTGAGAGAATCTACAAAATAACAGAGTTTGAGGAACACTACTCTTCACAGCACCTGGCTTCTATTTACTTATATAGGCCTAGAGACGTAAAGTGTTTGTTTAAACACAATTTTCATTCTAAGGACGATTCTGTAGAAGACTGTTTAGAAATTTAAAACTGTATCATAACTCAAATTTTATAGATTTTGGATTTTTTTTTCTTAATTTTTTTTTAAAGTGTTTTGTCTCCCAAATTAAATTTGTCTACTTCTTTGATCAGAATTGTAGTTAGGCTTTGTGCTACTTCCTGGAAGAAATGAAGGGTCTCCATGGAATTGTATTTTTAAAAGGAGTGCCTGCAGAAACAAGGTTAGAGGTTCCCAAAGATTCCACCATTTATGAAGCTCATTTCATGGATCTCCTGTCTAATATCTGGCTGTAATTCAGACCCAGATGATGTAATTGTGACCCAGGTGATAGAATAGAAAAGCTATTAAACAGTGGATGAAAATGCATTATGTTTTATACACATAGAGTAAGAAATTAATTTTTTTAAAAATTGATGTTCACATAAAAAGCATACTTTGACTTAAAGTTGCAATGCGTGTTGAACGAAAGTTGCAATGTCCATAACTACATGAATCTAAAAGGTTATCAGAAAAGGTAAAACATCCCACCTCACGTTCTTCCTCCTGTTCTTTCCGAATCTGTTCCAAGCGAAACTGCTCTGCCATTTCTCTCTCTTGTGCTTCCCTCTAATGAAGATAAACAGCAATCACACATGTATCACTTCGCTTTCATAGCTGTGTTTAATGATATGCATTAGCTATATAAAAGCAAAGAAACTTCTCAACTTTTCTGTAGAAATTAATACAAGAAATAGGGTATTTATTAAGTGATCTTTTCCTGTCATTCCTTTCCCAACTTCTATTATTCAGTGGGGCCAGGACTGCTTCAGCAAAAAGATGTATCCATGTCTACTCCTAGTGACTGTATCTAGTGCTGTTTTATAACCACTGAGGGCAATTACGGTTCCTACAGCAACAGCCTCATCTTAAGAGCAGAGCTGAAGGTGGACCGTCTTCTGCATCAGAGATTTCACCAGCTGAGGAGAGATTCCCATCCTGACGCTCATGCGATCGCTTCACCCTGCACACACCTTCGCCCTGTCAGCCTCCAGTGATATGCGGTACGCTTCATCTTGCTCTCTTTTCACATTTTCTCTGGCTTCACGTTCAGCCTAAAGAAAAAAAAAAACAAACAAAAAATATCAGCAAACAGTGGACCAATATGATATATATCTTTATGTTCACCAGCACTCTTTAACCCCAGTAACTTCAAACTGTTTGATTGCCTCATTCGCCTAACTACTGCTAGGAGAAATGAGTTCAGAAATGCCTCAAGGGCGACCTTGGCTTTAAAAATTCTGACTTACCTAATGCTGTGTTTCAATTGCCATGTTACGGATTGGCGTGTCCAAGCCCTGGCCTGATGCTGGCTCTGGCAGCCAGGCTCTTTGCCCTGCTACCTTCATCACGGCCGTGGCCGGCGCAGGCCCCGGGAACGGTGCAGCCTCCTCCGGCGCCAGCCACGTGGGGAGGGCGTTGCCGGAGGGGTACGTGTGGGCTGGTGCTGGAGAGGATTTCACTCCTGAAGCTGACAATTTAGATGGTCTTGTAATAGGGAAGGACAGACCATGGTTTAGAGGATGAGGCTGGATTTTAATTTGCTCTCCGCTCAGACTAACAGCGGGTAATGGCTTGTCCTGCGAGAGAAGGCCTGCTCCCAGGTCCTTCCTTGGTACAAAAAGCCCTCAGCAGGATCCATCCAGGGTCATGACTATTAAACATCGTCCAAAGCCCCCAGTTCACAGTGTTCAATATACAAAGATGGCAAAGTAGCAAGTCCTGCTCTGAAGTGTCTCAAATGGACAGATGCAGGCAGACAAGAAAGATGAAGTTAGTATGCCAACTTCAAGCCAGCAAACCTAGCAAAGTATTTTATTAATGACCACAGCACAAAGAAAGAAAGGTTTTCTAAAAATACGTGAATGATAAAGCGAGGCATCATCCACGTGATGGAGGATCAAGAAGCAGATTTCCCCAAAAGCTGGAGTGACTGCACTGGGGCGATGTCTGCTAAAGCAAAGTGTACAATCAATAGCTTCATACGCTGCCTCTGGAGCCAGAGCCAGAGGCTGCTCCCCTGTGCTTACTCCTCTTACATCTCATAATCCTCCCAGAGCCCTGCAGAGGCTGCACTGGTCCCTAGAAAAATCAATGAGATTCAGCTGTGAGATTTGCTGGTGGGCTCAGTGCAGTCACCAGTAGCTACCAGTAACACAGCACTAGCACTGGGATAATGTGCCCCCCGTATTTCATAGAAATTAAAGTCTACTACCTAGTGCTTCTTGAAGAATTATGTTAATTTTCCCATTCATCTGCAAGGTTTGTTCCACATAAAGGAATATTTTGCAAAGTGATCAATTTTCTCCCCAAAACTTCACTATTTGGCAAAATTTCAATTCTAAATAGGAGGAGCATCCATGAACTGTTATTACCATGTCATGTAAACATGCCAAGATGTTCCTCAAACAAAACTCTACCATATCAGTGGTTAAAAAGCTCTAAAGTAGCATGTGACCACAAGAAGAAAGGACAAATTGCAGGAAAAGGTATACAACCTCTAGCTGGAAAGTAACAAGATCTTTTTAGGGGAAACTCTTCCTCCTTACACAAACAGGATGCAAGATTATTCTACCATCAGTGTGTCCTAAATTTCATTCACAGAAGATAGAGAAAACATCACTTTGTTCAGCAGAGCTAAGACACGAGTAGAATTAATTCTCGCAAAATGTAAAAAGGACAGTAACCACCAAATAACCCTTTTTCCTCCTGGCTTCTCTGGACCTTGATAAGATTTTATGTGCCATGTTCATGGAATACTTTCAGAAATTAACTCAAACCTGACAACAGAAACTACCTTACATTCCTTACATTAATATCCAATTTCTAAGAAAAGGAGATGTTGAAACAATTGGAACAGCTCTGAATTTTATGTTATCCAAAAATGAGGAAAGCTTCTTGAACACAGAGGTTTTCCCAACTCTTCTCATAGATAGTATGTAACAGTAAAGGAAAAAGATGTCTGCAATCTATACTGAGACTTTCTATAAGCATGTCATACGTGTAAATCTTAAAATTGTGAGAACTAAAACCATCTTCCCAAACCAACCTACTAAAAGAAGACGACTCCAGCCAATCTTTGAGAGGACAAGCATTAAAAAATAAAAAAAATTAAGGATTGTTTCAGAGGGAACCTATTTAACTTTCATGTTTTGCAACATCACACATCACATGCTCACTGAATTTCAAAGGTCACACAAGTACAGTAATGCCCAAGAGAAAACTGAAAGATCAGATGCAACTATTGCAACTCCAGGCTCTTTCCTTCATCAAAGATAGCTAGCAATTAACATATAGTTAGTTTAGTTTACAAAAAAAACCAAACCTTAAACAAACCCAAACCAACTCTCAAGAAGTAAAAATATAAAAATTTATAAAAATTGTCAAAAACTCACTCCAAAAATATATACTAATCAGAGTTATAAGAAATTGAACACTGGCTTTTATTTTACAAACTGTCTAAAATACTCAAGGAAGTTATTAGAAATTACTTGTGATGAGCACAAGATACTCATTTACCTACAGAGAGCTTTACTGAAGAATTTTTGGAATTGGTTTGATTTATATAATCTGGATGATAACTGCAAAAATTACCAACACTATACATTCTACAATAAGAATCTAAACATGAATTCCAGGCATGAAAAAAAAAAAAAAATTTCTTTCCTCCCTATTCATCACAGTTATTATCGTCCTAAAAGTGGATTATGAAAAAGATGTCAAGAATGTGAGGAATTACTACGCATGACTGCCTGGTCCTCACAGAAATATGTGAGCCACATCTAAAAGTAAATGACCGTGCCACCGAGCTTTACACCACATTGAAACAATACTGTTCTTACTGAAACAGACCTTAAAAACAAATCTGGAATCCAGATTTCTTTAGGTAAGAAGCTGATGTAATCCTACGACATGTCTCTTTGTACCTACTTCTGTGTTTTGTTAATGCTGCTCCCATTCTACAGGAACCACCTCCAGTACGGAGATTAGGGCAAAATTGTAATATTCTCTGGTTCAGAGTTACGCCTTAGACAAATTTTAAACATTACATACTGTAGTTCTTCTTGTAACGCAGTCTGTTATCTAAGTCATCTCTTCCTCCAGAGAAACCATACAACGTATGAGGATGACTCAAGTTTACCAAAAGCAACAAAAGAAAATTCATAATGGTGGCAGGAAAAGCAGAAGAAAATATTTTGCAGAGAATCTTTCATTGCACTAATGAAGAATACATGAAGAAAAAAGGAACAGTCATACCATTAATAATTAATTTTTAAAAAGTCATAAGTATTATCCATGAACAAAATGTGAGGTAGCTGACAACTTTCCTTTTAAACCCTACATAAATTGCAGCATTGACTGAACATCAATAAGTGCATCTCCCCAGTACTTCTGCAACGAAGGCAAATTGCCATTTTCCTTCTTCAAGAAACCAAGGTGTGAACCGACAACTTTTCCCAGGTCACTTTAAAAGCCTTCTTCAGAAATGGGGGTTACACTCAGCATTTCTGAATTCCACAGCAGGGACCCAAGGCTGGTGTGAATGCAAACCATCCACATCCCAAGGGGTTTGGGCATGAGATGAGGAGACAACTCTCCTTTGCTCCTTAAAAGGAGAAAGTCACAGATCCCTGCTTTCCCATTTTGACAATGCAACAACAAGGGAGGGACATTCGTTCAACAGAAAGTTAATACTTTAAAGAAAATTGCATTTATCTACAGAATACATTCTTCAGCTATGAATCTTCTTTGCTATCATGTATGACGCAAAGTCACAATAAAAATCATAAATGCTTATATTAATGAGATAGTTACAACAGACCAGATAAAACCTTCTCTTGGCATAATATCCAGAGCTACAAGACTAAAAACCTTATAGGTAAGGTTAAGAAGAAATTTAGGATAACTCTCTCCAATAATTATTCCCTAAACTGTTTCTTGAAGTAACCCCTGAAGCACCTAACAGCAGGCATTTCCAGATGCGGAACGATGGAAAAGAGGGGTTCTCGATTGAATTTAGGACAGCAATGGCCTCTTTTTCTGCAGATTATATAGGGGAAAAAAAAATACACAGGACCAAAAAAATTTGGCTTTTTGCATGGGATATTTTGCTGGAAAAGTCAGCATTGGCCCTTCCTGGCTTTTTTTTTTTTTTTTTTCATTTATTGTTGTTGTTTCTGAAGGTAGGATTTAATGATTTAAGCCCAGGAATCAGCTTTGCACCTGATTTGTCTCAGGGAGTTGTGTTGTACTTTATTGCCCATTGGTCTTTGCGATCAGTTTTCCTGTGCAGTAAAACCAGATGAGACAGAACTTGAGAAGATAACCATGAGCAGAAGACATTTCTCAGAGCATCAGGGAGTAAATGCTGTTACAAGAAAGAAAGAAAAAAAAAAAGTGTATTTACAAATGCTGACTGCTTATCTGAAAGACAGTTCATTTCACCAAACCACTCCTGAAATTAAAATCTGCAAGTGCTTAAGGCTATTCATGGGAGTGTTAAAGAGAAACACCCCTTTGTCCAAACAAACCAGTGCAAGAAAGGCATTAATTTGACTCACTAAGATGACAAACTTGCACATTGTATAACTTAAACATAGACGATGGGGAATATACAGAAGGAAGAAGTGTACACAGACTGCGTTAGGCCTATGAGAATGACGAGGACAAAGCAAATGAAAGTTTCTGTGGTGGCAGAACCTCAGGTGGGGAGGCAGGACGCGGCAGGGCGAGGAGCCGGAGCAACGTAGAATCGCCAGAGGATCCTGCCTGTCTAGATGAAAGGCAGAAAGGTAGAATCGCCAGAGGATCCTGCCTGTCTAGATGAAAGGCTGAAAGCCCAGTTCCAGGTATTGATTTTTGGGAATTACCTCAAGTGACACCAGAAAAACCCCAAAAAACAAATGCAAAACCTTCAAGAACAATTCCTGCAGTGACTCTCCACGGGAAATCAGCCAGCCAGCCCTGCCACAGCATCCACCCACCTGGGCTGTACAGCAGGGAAAGCTGCTGTTCATTAAGCACTAAGCGAATATTCAGTGACTGGAGCCATCCC